TATTATTATTATTATTATTATTATTATTATTATTATTATTATTATTAAATATTTAGTGAGATTCACAGCCTTTGTGGCTGGTTGGTAGCTCAACTGCTCGAGTCCCAACCAAGGACTAGGAACTGTTCAGGTAGCATCAGAGGATATAAGTTGTTTCAAGCAGGGTGGTTTTTTGTAGAATCAGGGTATTCAAGTCTGATAAATTCAGGATTTCCAAATAGTGAGGCAGCCCTTTAGGTATTGCTCCAAGGGCTCCAATTACAGTTGGGATAACACACAATTTCTTTTTCCAAAGTCGCTCAACTTCAATTTGTAAGTCCCGATACTTTGTGATTTTTTCTTTCTGCGTGTCTACAATTTGTGCATCAGCAGGTATTGCAATGTCAATGAACCAAACCTTTTTCTTTTCAACCATTGTTATGTCAGGTGTGTTGTGGGCCAAGTGCCTGTCCGTGTGAATTCTAGAAGTCCCACAAGATCTTGACTTTTTCATTCTCCAGAGCCTTCTCAACCTGATGGTCCCAGTAGTTGTTACTATACTCAAATCCAACCTTTGGGCACAGTTTCCAGTGAATGATTTTAGCAAGTCAGTTATGGCGTTCTAGGTAGTCAGTTTGTGATTATTATTGTTGTTATGAAGATCATTGTTATTACATTACTATTTCTCAAAATTAACTACCCAGACAACACACTGTGTTTATGACTGTCGTAACTGTGAGACGGTTGCACAAATCACATACTGTAACTGCAAGGTTGCATCTTCAAGGACCAGTTGTTAAGTCTCCCTCGTTCAGCCCTGTCGTAACTTACAACAGCTGCTGAACAAGAGGTCGTTGAGCAAGGATTAGCTGGGCAAAATATTCTGGGGAAATTAAAAGTTTCCAGTCGTTGCAGAAACTTTTCTTGTTTTATTCTTCTCCACCAGTCATTTTCTGTATAAATTTATATAGAATAAAAGAAGACGGTTCCAATTACTCCCTTGGAACACAAGGGGGCGCCAGTCCCTCGCCATAACCAAATACTTATGAAATTCTCGGGGTGCAGAAATATCCCGAGGCGGCTTAACTTTCAACTGCGAGATGGGTAATGGCATTAGGGGAGATCACCTCCCCCAAAAGAAACTGGTGACAAATCCAACGGCACACGACACACTGAAGTGAGCAGAAATGTAGCGTAGTTGCACAGCAGAATGCTTCACCTGCTCATGCAGACCATAATAGTACAGCTCCAGGGTTGCTTTCTTGCAGGCGTTTCAATACCCAACCTAAGTAACATCATCCGTGGACAGTAGGGAATCCCAGCCATCACGTAGAAAAAGAGAGCAAGCCCCACTCCCTTGTAGGACTGATGATGCTACTTAGTTGGGTCATGAACCGTTTGCAAGAAAAGCTCAGCGAGCACCAAGGATTGTTGTTGTTCTCTTTCTCCTCCCCTCACCAAAGCCCTTCTAGCACTGATGATGTTACCTAGTTTGATCATGAAACGTCTGCAAGCAAACCAACAAGTTCAGACAGCTCCAAGGATCACACAGTCCTCCTCCTCTCCTCCTCCTCCTTCTCCTCCTCTCTGCAAACCCCACTCCCTTCTATCACTGATGCTGTTACCTAGTTGGGTCATGAAACGTCTGCAAGAAAACCACCCAGCTCAGAGAGCACCAAGGACCCTTCACTTCAACCCTGAGCTACAAATATCCTCCTTTATTGGTAATACAGCTTCAATAAAGGGGCTACAGGAGCAGGACCATGCTACTTCCCCAAGCATTGCTACAGATAATTGTAATCCCCCCCGGACAACCACAATGACAATGTAAAGAGTTACAACTCCCGATAGGTCCTTACCTGTTTAATGGTGAAGTCATTAATCAAGTGATGATTGTGCTCGTTGAGGCTGCAATGCAGGGTGACACAATCGCTGTGGAACAACAAATCTTGCAGGGTGCTGACCCGCTGAAGGCCAAGGGCCCGTTCGATGCCGTCCGAGAGATACGGGTCATAGAAAATGACGTTGAAGCCGAAGGCTTTGGCACGCAATGCAACGGCCTGGCCCACTCGACCTGCAAGGGAGGGAGGTGGTTTTTCAGACAAGGCACGAAGCGTTACGGCCCCTTTTGGAAACGGGGATTGTACAGGGGTGCTAAATTGTACGGGGTGGCCCCAGTGGTCAGAATGAAGTATTGCAGGCTGACTGCATTCCCACTGTCAGCAGTTCGATGCCGACCAGCTCAAGGTTGACTCAGCCTTCCGTCCTTCTGAGGTCAGTCAAACGAGGACCCAGATTGTTGGGGGCAAAAGGCTGACTCCATAAACGACTCAAGAGGGGGTTGTCAGGCACTGTGAAGTGGTCTATAAGTCTAAGTGCTATTTCTATCTATCTGTCTATCAGGCCATGGTTGCGCAATAGTTAGAATGCAGTATTGCAGGCTGACTGCATTCCCGCTGTCAGCAGTTCAATCCTGACCAGCTCGAGGTTGACTCAGACTTGCATCCTTTCGAGGTCAGTAAACTGAGGACCCAGATTGTTGGGGGCAAGAGGCTGATTCTGTAAACCAATTAGAGTGGGCTGTAAAGCACTGTGAAGCGGTATGGAAGTCTAAGGGCTATTGCGAAGGAAGGAAGGAAGGAAGGAAGGAAGGAAGGAAGGAAGGAAGGAAAGAAGGAAGGAAGGAAGGAAGGAAGGAAGGAAGGAAGGAAGGAAGGAAGGAAGGAAGGAAGGAAGGAGCCGTGCTGGTGCAGTGGTTAGAATGCAGTATTACAGGTTAACTATACCCACTGCCAGCAGTTCAATCCTTACCACCTCAAGGTTGACTCAGACTTCCGTCCTTCCGAGGTCGGTCAAATGAGGACCCAGATTGTTGGGGGGAAGATTCTGACTCTGTAAACTGCTTAGAGAGGGCTGTAAGGCACTGTGAAGTAGTCTCTAAGTCTAAGTGCTATTGTTATTTCTATCTATCTATCGGGCCATGGTGGCACAGTAGTAAGAACGCAGTATTTTAGGCCGATTCTGCCCACTGTCGGCAGTTCGATCCTGACAGGCTCAAGGTTGATTCAACCTTCCATCCTTCCAAAGTTGGTAAGATAACGACCCATATTGCAATATATGCTGACTCTGTAAAGCGCTATGGAGTGGTATATAAGTGCTCTTGCTAAACTACCCTGTGGGGTTGCCTTGAAGAACTTTTGTGAGGCTTCAGTTGGTACCAAATACAGGAGGCCAGAAGCTTCCCAGCACTTGCCAAAGAGGACATGGCACGTCTCCATTGCAGGCTCCGTATGGGCTGCCTTTGGCTTTTGAGTAGCTTCCACTGGAGCCGTGGTGATGCAGTGGTTAAATGCAGTACTGCAGGCTAACTCTGCCCACTGCCAGGAGTTCGATCCTGACCGGCTCAAAATTGGCCTTCCATTCTTCCCAGGTTGCTAAAATGAGGACCCAAATTGTTGGGGGGGCAAGAGGCTGACTCTGTAAACTGCTTAGAGAGGGCTGTAAAGCACTGTGAAGCGGTATATAAGTCTAAGTGCTGTTGCTGTTGCTATTTGGAGCAGTGTGTCTCAACCTGGACAGCCTTTGGTTGTGTGGACTTCAATTTCCAGAATTCCCCAGCCAGCTGATCAAATCAGTCAACCTTAAAGGAACTCAACTCCATTTGCCCTTTGGAAGGACAGGTGCAGAAGCTCCAATACTTTGGCCACCTAATGAGAAGAGAGGACTCCTTGGAGAAGACCCTGATGCTGGGAAAGATGGAAGCCAAGAAGAGAAGGGGACGGCAGAAGAGAAGATGGGTAGATGGTGTCATTGACGCAACAAACATGACATTTGGGCAAACTCCAGGAGGACAAGGAGGGCTTGTCCTCCACTGGCCACCCAAGTGAGAAGAGAGGACTTCTTGGAGAAGACCCTGATGCTGGGAAAGATGGAAGGTGAAAAGAGAAGGGGACAGCAGAGGAGGAAATTCCTAGATGGCGTCATTGACGCAACAAACATGACATGCGGGCAAACTCTGAGAGACAAGGGAGTACAGGAGGGCCTGGCATACTAAGGGTTGCAGAGTCAGCCACGATTGAGCACCTGCACAAGAACCAGAGCATCCTTGGCCGTACAACTAAGACAGTTGGACCCACCCAGCCCAATAATGCCCAGCGTCTCTCCTCTGATCCTGGCAGCTCCAGAAGCCACTTCCCGAATCTGCTCCACGCTCTGCACCCTTGTGCCTTCTCGCAAAGCCTGATGCAGCCAGGTGGTTCGCCTGTAGAGGTTCAGGATGTGGCACATTGTTGAGTCCGCCGTCTCTTCCACTGACGCAGCCGGGACGTTGCAAACGGCGATCCCTGCAGAGGGAGGGAGCAGAGGAAGGAGGAGATGACGGGGGTTTGGCGCTGGGACGGCAAAGGCCGCCTCTCAAGCAGCTTTCGGAAAGAGTCAGCTGGACACCAAATGATCTACAGGCAGAACTCGACTTACGCTCAACATTTCTGTCGCTAAGCGAGACAGTAATTAAGGGAATCGTGCTTCTCTCCTTGACTTTGCTGGTTAGAAGTTGGCTGGGGGAGGTCACAGATGGTGAACACGCAACCCCAGGACATCACAACTGTTGTAAATAAGTGCCAGTGGCCAAATTTTTATCGTATGGCCGTGGGAATGCTGCAGTAGTGGCTGTGAAAAACCATCGTGTCCCTGTCTTTCAGTGCTGTTATAACTCTGAGTAACTGCTAAACCAGTGGTGGCTAACCTTTCTGTCCTTGCATGCCAAAAGTGCGCGCATATGCACGCTCTGGAGTGACAGCTCACATGCCGGCGGAGATGGCTCTGCGTGCCACTTCCAGCATGCATGCCATAGCTAAATGAATGGTTTTAAAGTCTGTACAGAAAACTTTTTTTTTTTTTTTGGCAATTCTATTAGAAACGTTAAGATTTCTGGCATGTTAAAAAAAAAAAATAGATGACGATCAGAAAAGCACAGAGATTTTAGGATTAAAATTGCTGCAAGTAATCGATGTTGCATTTTACAGTAAATGTCACCCAATTAAATGAGGCATATTCTCAGGGAAGCGGCTCTATGCTTATAGTGCAATAAGCACCCAGTTGAAATACGATTTAAATATAGCTCAACGAGACAACTTAGGAGAGGAATATTGGTGGATTACAAATGTACACAATCAAATATTTTGCTACAAGGCTGGGTGGGCCCTGACTTGGGACAAAGCCAATCTTCAGACATCTTTTGCAGTAGAAAACCCAAGATAATATATAAGATGCCCGTGATAGGTCATACTGGAGACACACTAACCACGGCGATCTGAAAGCGACGGTGGGAGAACATCCAATGGGTGTTTGGACAAGGAAGGCCACCCAACCCACACCATCCCCTCCAACTGCTCACTCAGTTCCAGATCTTTCCTTCCTGGGATTGGACTCTGCATCGTCATGAGATGGAAGTTCCCAAGCAAAGTCCTCCAGAAGCAGAAATAAGTCGGTTACCCAGGAGGAAAAGGACCATAGGAGGAACACGGTTTCATGGCGGTCCTTGATCACTTCCTGAGTTTAACCAATCAACCAACCTTTTTTTTTAATAAAAAAAGAGAAAGCGAATTTTCCACCCCCTGGGTGTATCATAATTCATATCCTCCAATGAGACACATCCACAGCCCAGAGGCATCCATCATGCTCTCCAGTTAGAATTTTGTGCGGCAGAAACTTCAGTCACCTAGTTACTATCTTTGAAAAACTATTTATGGAATGCACTTTCGATTTCCAAGCAAACACCTTTTTCCCCCCTCTCCCTTTCTGTTGGCAACTCTAAAAAGACCATAGAAATATTTTATGAGTTGACAGGAATCCTATTCCTTCCAGGTTCCTGGCTGAGGAACTAAGAACATGTCAGAATAGGGGATCTCTGGAGTGATGATTCCTGAAGCATCAGAAAGGCGTACAGGCCTCCACACAACCTCAGGTCTGGCCCAAAGCCCCCATCCTTTTAAAGCATCTGGTGGCCAACCACTTGCCAATTTAGTGCATTGTACAACCTAACATTTGGAGCTGACAGAACAGCACAGAAGAACAGCAGTTGGGAGGGGCCTCAGAGGTCTTCTAGTCCAACCCACTACTCAAGCAGGAGATCCTCTACCATTCCAGACAAGTGGCTGTCCAGTCTCTTCTTAAAAGCCTCCAGGGTTGGGGGCACCCACCAACTCCTGAAGCTGTTTCCTCTCCTTTAGAAATAAAATTAGAACCAAGCACCTGGAATAATAACTAACTTGTCCATTCATTTGCAAATGTCGTAAAGGAATACTTTCAATCTGCCAGGGTCCGGATCTAAAACGAGACCCCACAGGAAAAGAGGGAAAATATCACAGAAATAAGAAAAACCAAGCGGAAGCTAATATTTTGAGTGGGGGGGAGGGGAAATCACCTGAATGCAAGCAAATGCTATGAAGGGGAGGAAGCTGCCTTCCTTTCGATGTCAACTCTTTCTAAGCACTCCAAGACTGTAATTGGAGTGGATGAATTTATTACCCAGATTTTGCAAGACAGGGCAAGGCAAGAAACAACTGCCGTGTAGAGCTTACTGAATATATTCAATAAAAGAACGTCCCAATAAAAATGTAGGGCCAGTTTGGCCTAGTGGTGAAAGGCACAGAGGACCCTGAGTTCTAGCTTCACTTAGGCATGAAGGCACCTGGGTGACCTATGGCCAGTCACCTTCTCTCAGCCCTGGAAAGCAAGGAAGGGCCAACCCCTTCCAAAACCTGGCCAAGGAAACTACAGGCAATCCAAATCAGCAAGGAAATACATAAATAAAAAAGCAAGGGTGTATAAATGGTCTTTATAATCTTTCGGTTGGGGAAAAGCTGCCCAGTTTCTCATCTATGATAAAGACTTTGGGTGCTTTCCAGGTGTGGCATGTCGTTCTGATCCACCCACCAATTTTGTGCATGGGTGAACGTACATTTTGGCCCTATCCTCACGATCTTGCTATCAATATTTTCATCAGCCACGGTCACCCACTGATCTTCAGAACATTGTGTTTCTCGGGCCCTGGAACCAAACCCCTCCATTCCTTCAGAGTTATGGTTTCATTCTCCATGCAAGCTAAAAGGGACCCCTGCATAATAAAGGCCAAACTTCCAAATTATGGCAAGATGGGCCTTGCTATTTGAACGCCCCCAATTTGGTTAAAGCAGACCCTGCTTTGAAAGACGTGGATGGACATGGAATACCTAAGTCCCCAGCAGATTTGATATCGATGTTATCAAAACCACTTCCAATTCGAACGATTATTCGAAGTGCTTTAAATTTCTCCAAGTCCTCACGGGTTAAAGTGATGGTGTGATACATCAGGGCCCCCACAGCTTCATTCAGTACCTGCAAAACAAAAAGAGATCCAGTAATTTTCCCTACTAGGAAAAAAACTATGATCTAGTAGTAGTAAGCCTTCCTTGCTGCTCAGACGAAACACCTGCCACCCACCCACCCACCCACCCATATAGAATAGAAGAGAATTCTTTATTTGCCAAGTGTGATTGGACGCACAAGGAATTTGTCTTGGTGCAAATGCTCTCGGTGTACATATGTCTTTATCTATCCATGTTATCCATCTATACATACATACTTGCATGTCCTTA